CAAGAGCCAAAGAAATTATTGGCCGGACTTGAGCAAAAAAAAACACACAAAAAAACACATCAGCATCAACAACAAAAAATGCTAATTCAAAACAAGCAGATTTTGCGGTTTATGCAAATGTCCCACAAACCCTCTGAGCCAGACCCCAAAACAAGTCATAACAGCAAAAGCAACAGCCACAAAAGATGCCTCTCGTTTGTATATATATATATATATCTTTGAGTTAAAAATATAAAAATAAATAAAGATTTAATGCTTGATGGCCAGAAGAGTCAGAAAAGTAAATTACAAAATATTTACAAAGCAGCAACAAAAAAGTATATTAAAGCAGGCTCAAGTATATTCTGTAGAGCTAAAAATAAAACAATGTTTGGTAAAACAAAGTTTACATATGTAATAGTACCTAAACTCTAAGGGTGTTTTACTAAAACCAACAACAGATTGAATATATTGGCCAACAAACTTAATTAAAGATTAAATCCACATCCTGAACATAAATCATATTACACCCCTTTGTTTAGGTAAGAGTTTGTAACAAATATCTATACATATTTTGGCAAGAGGAAATACAATCAAGAAAAACTTGAGTGAAACGTGTGTTTATTTGTTGCTCAGCTGCGTCAAACTGTGCAGTTCAAGGCTATTTCAACTTGGCCTCAAGTCATTTGCTTTTGGGCCAAGAAAAAAAAACACTTCAAAAATGGTAGCCGAGATAATGCCAGAAATGCCTTTCTTTTCAACTGCGTCTTCTACTTTTTTCCATTTTTTTTTTTAGCTTTTCCGTCCTCTTATGTTTATTTAACACACTCTCAGGCACACACACGCCCACTCGCACACACTCACACATAAAAGCCAAAATGAGTTTGGGCCAAGAGCAATAATTCATTTTGACTTCCATTCTAGCTTTTGGCTCTGATGGAAAACCTTTCTCCCCGTTCTATCGCCTCAAATTGAATTTCAACTTAAACATCATTTGGCTATTTTGAAATTTAAACGATTTTCCCAGATGTGTGTGTGTGTGTGTGTTGTGTGTGTGTTTGCTTATGTAAGCTGTAAGCTGCTGATACCCTGCTGGGCAACGATATTGATTACATTTGATTTTTTAACTGGCAATTTTGCATTTTTTTTTTTGTGTTTATTAGTTTGGTTTGATTTATCTTCTGGGTTTCCAAATAAATTCGGTTTATTTGGTTTTCCTATGCAATTAATGTGTGAATTTGCACATCAGTTGTGTTACGAATATATTTTTTTTAATTTATTAAAATGTTGAAGGAGAAATTGTGGAAAACTGTAAAACTGTAAAAATCTTAAAGGCCAAAGAACACAATTTTTATCATAATATTAAATATAATAAAAAATACAGTAATAAAATATCATATAAATATAAAATTAATTTCTCACTTACCCATTTTCTTCTATATTCGCTTCTTCTTTCTTCTTCTTGGTAATTTTCTAGTTTGATTAAATTAATGTTCTTTCATTTACGGACGAGTTTTTGTTCTTTCCTTCCTTTCTCTATTATTAACTCACAGAAACATTTAATATATTTATTAATTAAACACTTTAAAAACACACACACAGAAATATTAATTTTTTAAATTATTTATCACAACAAGAAAACAAAGCACTGAAACATTAAATGTATTATATAATAAAACACTTAAAAAACAAAAAAAAATCACTCACTTCATTTTAAATTTAAACACACACAAAAAAAAACAACAAAAACACATAAAATCATTTCATGTATTAATTCACTAATCACATAAAAAAAAACAAAAAAATAAACTCACTGCATTTTAATTTTTCACTAAAAAAAAAGAAAAAAAAATAAACTCACTGAATTATAAATTTATTTATACACTTGAAAAAAAAAACAAATAAAAGGAATGGAAAGGAATGGAAAGAAGTTTAAAATTACACACGCGCACCGCGAATAGTCTTCTGATATTTGTATTTAATCAGCATAGTTTATATTTACTTTTCTTTTTCACACACTTTAATCACTGTGTTTACTTTTATGGCTTACACCGCAAGAAATCATTTCATTTACTCTTTTCTTATTGAGAGAAAGAGAGAGGTTACAAGTCATATGTACACACATGTATGTTTGTGTGTGTACAGCGGCTGCTGCTGCCTTGCTTTGCCCGCGGGAAGTCACAGGTGTTTTAATGCACTTTTAGTGGTTTTAATTAGATATTCACTTGTTAACATCTTCTTTTATTTATCACTTTTGTAGTTCTTCGTTAATTTCGCTTTGGCACTTGCACAATGTTTTGATTTTTTCTGCATTCCGTTTTACTCCAGTCACAATTACAGTTAGAAGGAGAAGCAGCGCTCATCACCTTCCATTTACCTTAATTCTTTAATAAAGTTCTTATTAAATGGTTAATTTATTGTTCCCGCATCGAACGCAGTTAGTTTTTGTAGATTAATCGCTTTGTAGGTTTTATTAAACGTTAAAAACGTTTTTAAGCGGCAGCACATCTCAATTTTACACTTTCGCCTTTTGGTTCTGCTCTTCTTCTCTTCTTGCGCTCTCACTCTCTTCGCCTCTAAAGTTGGTTTCGCGCTTGCAATCCAACTGGAACACACATTCAGACATACATACATATTGGCGGCTGCGGCTGCAGCTGCAGTCCCACTGTCCACGGGAGTCTCAAGTGTTTTTTTGTAGTTTTACAAGCTTAAATTCAATTTTTATTTGACAAAGTTGTTATTTTATCTTGTCTTTGTTGTATTACTTTGTTATTAATTCAGTGCTTTTCACTTCGGCACTTGTTTAATACGTTTTCACGGTGTAACAATTCCAATTGCAAAGAACAACAGCACATACATACATACACGTATGTATTTTCAGTCTTATAGGGCAAACTATTTGTTTTCACTGCTTAATTTGATTGCTCCCACATAAAGGGTAGTTAGTTTTACTGAATTAATTGTTTTGTTGATATTTTTAAACGTTTTATCCAACAATAATCGTTTTTTTAGCAAGAGCAGCAGCAGCAGCAACAGCATCGCGCCTAAATTTTTCACTTTTGGCGGCTTTCGCTCCCCCTTCTTTTCTACTCCCTCTCATCTCTCTCTCTCATAGCGACCGAAAACCGTTTGACTTTAACGGATCTTGGCAATGCCAGTGAGAGCGGGAGAGTGAGCGAAGTGAAAAAGAAGTAGAAAAAGAACAGATCACAATAGACAAAGTGCAGGTTCTGACGCTCGCTGCTGCTGCTCCCAAACAACGTTTTAAGTCGGGCAAAAATGTTTAATAACACCTACCAAGCGATTAAATTAGTTAAACGAAGTGCATTTTGTGCGTGGACACTTGATTAAGGATTTATTAAGTGCATATTAAACGAATTTAAATGGAAACTGAGTGCTGCTTGAACTTCTAATTACAATTGTGACTGCGGAAAACGGAATGAGGAAAAATGTATACATACTGCAAGGGCCAAAGTGAGTTTAATAAAGAACTACATAACGGATAAATAAAAGAAGATAAAGGAAGATGTTAACAAGTGGGATATCTATTCAAAGCCACTAAAAACTGCAATAAAAACACCTTAGAAACCCGCGGGCAGTGGGAGGCAGCTGCAGCCGCTGTGCATATACATACATACATGCAGACATATGTATGTATGCGAGTGTGAAGTGTGCATGGCGAGTAACCAAGCTGGGAAAGAAAATAACCTCGGGAAGCCGAACTGTGTATACCCTTCAAATTATTATTATTGAAATAGAATTATTGGAATAGAAAGTTATTATAACTAAACTTAAAATAGTCACAATTTTGAAATCGATATTTATTGATATTTTTATATGAGGAATTTTATTACAAATCAAAGTTTAAGAATCGCATAACTAAGCCAAAAATGCATTATTTTTAGTTTGGAAAGCTGCCCCATGTTAGTTTTTACTAGGTTAATAAATTTGCATACTGGATAATGAATTTTAGAGAATTAAAATTTTTTTCAATTTTTGACATTATTCATAATGTAAAAATTGATATAAAATTTTAACAAAAATTTTAAACATTTTGAATTCTTCCGGACAAGCCTAGATCGATTCAGCTGTTGATGCTGATCAATAATTCCTTCGGAAATTCCTGATCGGAAATAATTCCTTCATATCGTTACAAGCTTCTTACTAAAAATATAATACCCTGTAAAGGTATACAAATATAACAGCAAAATTCTTAATTAACGGCAAATCATGGTGCAAATAAGAGTTTAATTTTACCAAATTTTCCCTGAATATGTAAAAGGCTAAAAAGTCGTAAACAAAATTGCTATTTACTTTCCCCTGCGAAAATATTTGCTGTATAGAAATGATAAGAAAATACAAACAGAACGAGGGAAAGGCGAGTGCTTTTCTGGAAAATTAAATCTATTTATATTTATGCAAATTCAGTCAGTGAATTCCATAGAATTTATGGCTAATCTGGGATTTCCATTACAATTTTAATATTAAATGCTAAAAGCAATTGATCAAATAGTCAAAGTAAAATTTGATTTATTTATCTTGCCTTCACATTACATTCAATATTAAATTATTTTCCCCACAGAAAACATTTTATTTACATACCTTTGAATGAATTTATTCAAAGCGTCGGCAAATATTTTTAAATTTTTTTATTTTTGCACAAATTATTTGTCTATATTTTTTTATTTTTTTGTCACCATTTAGTAAAAAAAATCAACTTTTCTATCGTTTGAAAACGTTGCAAAACTTTTTCTCGCGCCGCATATATTTTTCCGTTTTTCCGGGCGGGGCTGAAAAAATCCGCCCATCCTCATGTGCAATAAATAATTTTCATGCACAAAACTAAAAGTTTTTGTACAATTTTCGTGGCAAATCAAAAAGTTAGCATTACCCACTATTAATATTAATAAGAGCATATATCTTTTTTATGGTTTCGTTTTAGGTACGTCTGCAAAGTTTGCTTTTAAAGCGTTGAGTTATTGGAAATCCTGGGAAATCCGAGCTGCAGATAACATAGTGCGGCAATCGAAGTTGGTTATGGGGTAAGTGAGACGTGGAAATTGGCTCAACAATTTGGCTCAAGCTCAACACTTTCCCTCCCCACCCCACAAAATGTGACCTTCAAAGAGCGACAACAATGGGGCATCTTCTTCCCATGTGCCTTATTTTTTAGAGCTCAGTGTCTGTCGTTTTTGGGTCATTTCCGTGATTTGGGGTTTTGGCTTTTGCTTTCCACGAGTTGTCGAGTTCGAAGAGACTTCCGTCTTAGCACTCATTTTCGTTGAAATTTGCATTTTCATTTATTTGTGCAATGTCTTTTGTCTTCCACTCTGTTTGATTCTCAAACCCTTTTGGCAAAGTGTCCATTGCACAATTCAAAGAGTCGCAAAAACGAAAAGAAAATACTATAAAACTATTAGAAACCTTTGATTAAAACCAGAACTAAAAGAGTACAAAATTAATAATTTTATTTTATATTTCTTTCTGGTGTACTTTTGCTTTTATATATTCCATTTATTGGTATTTGCTGTCATTTGCCAACTTGGTTCATTTCTGTTTACATTTCGCTTCCGGCTTTTTCCTCGTTTTACTTGTAATTTATATTCACTGACCTGTTTCAATTGAAAATTCCATGCTTTTGGTCTCTTCTGAATGCCACTAATTAATTTTCAGCGTGCATTTATGTGGCTCTAATGGCAAGCACTTGTTTTTACCATTTTCAAAAAGATACGAACTCACAAAAACCATTTCCCAAATGCACAAATGAAAAGTATTTGGCCTTATTCAATTGATTTACCTTATTTAAGAATTTTTTAAATGGTTAGACAAGGTTTTATAGGAATTTAAAGAACGTTATCTTAAATTCTTTGAGCTGGCTATAATAATAATCCAATAATTCAATTATTCATATTCAATATGTAAATGTCACATCACTAAATATGCTGAATAATTTAAAATTTATGCTAAAGGAAGTCCGCCCTTTCAGTTAACATTTGAATAAGGTTAAATGACATTTTTGCTGTCCTACATTCCTGCTGATGTCCTTTGAGCAAAATAAACACAGACAGGACTTTATTTATATGAATTCCCATCATGTTATGTTATGGCAAATTTATGCATTTAATCGTTAGCCTATTAAAACCATTTGAGTCATTCATTTTAAACCTCAGCATCACAAACAGAAATAAACTCTCGGATTAATAATAAAAATATATATATATATTTATCAATCGCTGCCACAAGCACGCACCAAAAATGTAAATGAGCCGCAAAGCTAAAATAATATTAAAATATATATATTTGTGGATATGCATTTAACTGCAGCATTAAAAAAAAACCATTCAGTAAAAAACTGCAATCAATGATATTTTTAAAAGTGTCACACACAGACGACTATGGCAACTTGATAATTAATGATTTTGGCCAAAAAGGTCCATTAACATAAATCCTTTACAGTCAACATATTTTAATAAATTTCTCTCTTGCATCGATGAAGTTAATATAAAATTTAAGGACTTGTTTTCGTTGGGGAAATTAAACAAACCGGATATGAGTGGAAAAGTAATGAAATTCAGGCAATTAATTATAATATTTTAATGGGAAATTCAGTAAGGAGTCTTATGAAAATTAAATGTAAATGAAACTTGCAAGCTTGAAAAATATTAATTTAAATATGAAATAATATTTTAAAGGGGAATTTAGCAAGGAATGTAACTAAAACTTTGAATATTTAAAATGCTATTTTATATGTTATTTTAAATATTAAATACTATTTTAACGGGGGATTCAATTATCTTATTCAATTACCTTACAATTTGAAAGCCTTAAAAGCTTTATTTTTTATATTTAAAATTATATTTACGCGGAATTCAGCAAGGAATCTTGTGAATATATAAATGTGATTGCTACTTATAAGGAATCTTATAAAAATTAATGGGATTGCAAATTGTAAGTCTGAAATACGAATATTTTAGATTCATTTAAATGTTAAATATTATTTTATCAGATAATTTATCAAAGAATCGTAATTTGAACTGATTGCGAATTTTAAACCTTAAACAATATTATATATTTAAATTTACATATTCTTTAAAGAGATTCAAAGGCAGGCAAGAGTTTTTTAGTTAGCTCAAAAGTTTAAGCATTTAAAAAACTAATCAAGTTCTTAAAAAGAAAAAAACAACTCAAGCATATTCCTTACAATCTGTATAATTTTGACAAGCTACATAGAATAACGATCTGATTATACATCTGATTAAATTTATATATATATCTGTACACCTACTTCCAACCCGTATTCTGTTTGGAGAGCACAACCTTCTGCATGTGGTCATCAGCCGTGTGTGTGGTATGCCTTCCACCTGCATGCCTTTGGGTGCACTTGATCATGGGTATACCATTTCCCTTGGTCCAGGCACTTGTCGAATGTGGATGCTCGTCCTTGCGATAGTAACCCATAATGCCAGACTTACGAATCTGACCCAATTCGTAGGTGACAATGGGTGCCAAACCGGAGGAGCTCTTGGCATTTGGCAGAGATGGCACCTTGGAGCGTTCCACGGTGCGCATTACACAGGTGGTGTCACAGGACAGGCAGGATAGATCCTGCATCACCTTCACCCTGCCGGCTGCAGCGGCACAATCATCATTGGTCATCTCCATGTACTTTTGCAGAGCCTCGGCAATCATTTGGACTCTCTTGTCGACTATTTCACGGAAATCCTTGAGACCCAGCTCCAAGGATTCAATGCCCATGGTATTCCGTAGATTATCAATAATCTGAAGGACATTCTTCTCATTCCGATTGATAATGTGCCGAACCTCGCACAATGTCTTCTCCATTCTTGCCTTGTACTCCTCCATTTGCTCCAAGGACAACTTGGTGGCCAATTGCTTAAAGTCCACCTTACCGGCTAGGAGGAGCTCACGCTCCACCTTGGCACTCTTGACCAAATCCAAATGTTCTGTAAATTTTTTCAAGGCCGCTATTTCCGAGAATGCATCATTCAGCCGAGATGCTACAGTATTACCAGTTTCTCGAGTGGCGGTCATAAAGATTCTGATATCACGAATTGAATCCTGAAGATCCCTAATCAAATCCATCACTCTCTGAGAGTCCTGCTTCGTTAGGGCAGCCCCAAAGTCATTCATCTTGACGGACATCTCACAGAATTGTGACTTGAGTTCTAGTAACTCTGTGAGAATTCGATCGGGAGAATAACAAACAACTGGCTCCAAACCCATATGCTTATCCTCTTCCGGTTTCTCCGAGGACACTTCCGTGGAAGATTCCTTTATGTGTTCCTCTTCGGCTATGGCCTCTCCTTCATCGCCACCGCCACCAACATCTTCACTTGTCCAACTCACGGATACCTCATCGCCAGTGGTTGCCATTAACACTCTTAGTTGCTTGGCAATATTGCGAAGATCCTTGATCCTTGCCGGATTCGGTTTGCGATCGATCAACAAATGGGTCACATTATTCACCTGCTCCATGGTGATCTTCATCTGTCCCGTGAGATTCGCCACAAATTTATTTAATTCCGTGTGAGCCATTTCCTTTTGCATCTCCATTTTGGACACACGTCTCTCCAAACGATGGACATTACTGACCAGAGATCCATCGGCTCTTGGCACACCGGTCGATGGTTGGGCAGAGACTACTGGGGATACCCTTTCCGATTTCATTTCGAGTTTCTCAGAGGATGCAGTTCGAGTTCCCGGCTTGGTGCTGTGAGCAGATGCCTGTAAGGATCCTGTGGGAGATACAGCTGCTGGTGCGGGTTCGGGTTCCGGTTCCGGTTCGGGTTCGGGTTGGGGTGCTGGTTCTAGTTGCACTTCCGGTTCCGGTTCGGGTTCGGGTTGTACTTCAGGTTGTGCTTCTGACTCTGGTGGAGCTTCTGTTTCCGGTTCTGGTTCTGGAGCTTCTTCCGGTGCAGGAACAGTATCTGCTGGAGCTTCAGGCTCTGGAGCCACTGCCTCAGGCTCTGGCTGTGCTTCGAGAGCTTCTGGTGGGGCAGATTCTTCTGCTGGAGGAGCTGGTGGTGCCTCCTCAGGAGCAGCTGCTTCTGGTGCCTGCTCGGGTGGAGGCTCTGCCACAGGCTCTTCGGCAGGTTCTTCCTCGACATCAGCGCCACCAAATAGACGGAATTTGGAGGATTTTGGCAAGGTTACTGCAAGTCAGTTGAAGGAATGGGGAGTTAGGTATAGATTTTGAATATGAATAAGCAAAAGAACTTGTATATTTTCATTTATTTCAATAATAGTTTTACCTTCTTGAAGATAAGATAAAGTTTGTTAAAAGCAAAGTGCCAAAAAGGGTTTTAATTTGGTAAAATTTACAAAAATCGCAAGATTCCTTTTAAGGTTAAGGTTATGGCCCCCTTTAACCCCTTTTGATACTCACATTTACTGCTCTGCAGTCTCACATTGGCCGTCATATAATCATCCTGCTCGACAACCTCATCCAGGACATCCAATCTTTGGCCAAAACAGGTGAGCAAAACATGTAAAGCATAAAAGTTTACATGTCCCGATTCGGGTGAACCAATGGCCACATCAATTAGCTCTTTATAAGTGAAAGTCATACTTGTAATCAAGAAATTTGATTATACGTTAAACAAAATAATAAAATAAAGTGTGTTTACTGATCCGAACAAGTAAAGGCCTAGGAATATACTAAATAACTAAAGTAAATAACTATTGTTCAGAGACATTTTTAATGAGGGAAATATCAAGGCATGGTTGATGTTTTTAATATACTGAAAATATATATAATATTTTATGCCAAGTCATTAAGATTTTCTTGAATATATTATATATACAAAACAATATTATCCATTATGTTCACTTAAATTGGTTTACTCAATCCCGTTTATTTAAAAATTATGTGTGTGAAATGCGTTTTCCTCAAGCTTCTTCGTTTCATTTGCTTCACAGCTATTAGGGCTTAATTAATTTTTACACCATTTCACATATAACATATTATATTGGCTGCCCTGGCAGTTATTATGATTGCGTTCGTTTAATGAACAACATCAAAGGCGGTTAAGGTTAATTTTATGTTGCCTCTGTGAATGCTGTTGCTTCTTCTTTTTTGCTGTATTTTTTGTTCATTAAAAAGATGCAAAATGTTGCTGGAGTCTAATGATGCAATCAAGTGGGAAAGCCTTGGGCAAGCGGCCAAAGACAATGTGGTTTTTTATTCTCAATCCGATTGGGACATTTTGGCCAGAATTAATGTTTCAATTAGTGGCGAAAAGAAGCGGAAACCGTGGTCTTTAACAGATTTATGGCACTAGAGGCTTTTGGTTTTCCTATTACCTTTTGCCAGAGCAACGAAAATATTGCACATTCTATGAGAATGTGGAGAAAACATTGCGGGAAATCCCATTTGTCATTCCCTACGGTCTGTATTTTCAATCCGGGGAGTCCTTTGCCAAAAAGGAAGCCTGTCAATGTTTGTGGCCTCGTAAAATCTAATTTAAATGCAAACGCAAATGTCAAAAAATTGTAGAATTAAAAATCACATATGGTTTTTGATTCAGACAGACAGCACACACACATTTTTCCAGTTTCATTTCAACTATTTGCCAAAGGAATGGCGATGGGAAAATCATGGGGACAACGCGGCGTATGCGCAACATATTTTCAACAAACTGTCACATCGCGTATACGCAATCAGTTGGTAGTCAGTCAACAGGATGCCACATATTGGTGGAAATTTTACAAGGATAGTAGGGAAAATATAGATTGAATTAAGGTAAAACTTAAAGGAAGTGTTAAAAGAGAAGTTTCTAGAAGAATTTCATAAAAATTTCAATCTCTTTGTTTAAAGGAAGAGATTGAATTAAGAAAAAACTGAAAGGAATTGTTAAAGGGCAAGTTTCAATAAGAATTTCATAAAAATATAATCTCGTTGTTTGTTTATTGTTTAGGGCAAGTTCATTCCTTATTTCCTTTTAAATACACAATTTAATATACCCTTTAATACCTTAGGGTATTAGGTAAAAAATATATCCAAAAATCCCTGGTTATCTGATAGATGCGTTTGAAAGGTTTTTACATCAAATGTCAACTATGTTGATTGAACTGCCTGAAAGCTGCCCCCGCCAAACACATCAAAAATAACACAATTTTTTTTGAACCTATAGGAAGCTAAATTTCATCAATATCAAATACGAAACAAGCTAAAAAAACGGACAACAAAATAAAGCAAAAAAATATAATATTTTGTAAAAAAGTGTCTGGGTTTTTTTTGCTGTCATCAGATTATAGGCATCATCATGTTGGACAACCAGTTTAAAGCCGTTGATAAGTTATAAATAAAGTTTTGATCAGCAAATATATATATATGGGTGAATAACTTATAGTAACTGGTATTGAAATTGCGTAGGAATTCATTTTAAATGCCAAAGTGGGAAGCCGCAACACATGGCTTTTGCGCTTTTGTAAAATGTGTAAGTTTGTAAGTTTAATTTATGCCCCGACAGAATGGCAGCCAAAAACTGCAGTTCAGGTCGCAAAAACGAGTTGACGCACACACACATGCTTCCCAAAACGGAAACGGAAACGGAAATATGCGCAATTTCTCAACAAGACAATGTCTGCTGCAGCCAAATCAAAAAAGGCATAGTTACAAAAAAGAGGAAATAAAGAAAAGCTGAGGGGAAAAGGGAGACAAGTACAACAGGAACTTGTCCTTGTCATTTTCATTTCTCCTCCAACTTTTCTCCAAAAACTGTTGGAAGTTTTCCTTCTCACTATTTAAGTTTTCCCTTCAAATGTTTCTCTGTCTGGAAAGGATTTTTTTTTTTAACCAAATAGGATTTTAGCCAAATGGAAAAGTAAGTCATAGTGTGTGAGGAGAGAAAACTTTATATAATTATGCAAGTGTCTGATAAAGCTGCCAGCAATTTATGCATAATTAAAACTTGATTATGCGGTTTGCCAGACTTTCTTTAATATATATTAAGCAATTTGCTTCTGGTTTTGACTATTTAATAATTTAATAATTTCTTAAGCTAATAATTCCCTTTAAAATGTTATAAGAACCTACAATTTCTTTACTTTACTTTGCTCTTCCACTTGATTGAATTAATTTACTTTGCCTTTCTTCCGATTTTATGTATTTTATGCTTTTGTCTTGAACATTTCAATTTCTGCCCCTTAAGCATTTTGTGCAATAAGTGGATTAAGGACCATAACTTGTCAATAATTGTGCAGCAATGATGACTCTTGCTTTGGCCAATTAGAAATGATTTTACCAAACATTTGCATAGAGTACTTTTGGGGTCTAATTGGGCCAATTGAAGAAGTTAATTCTTGAGCTAACTTTATGATTCACTTCCCTTTTCTTTGTCCCTTTGCAAAAAGCAAAAAGCCAAGTTGGCTTTAAGCTCCCAAGGCGAACACAATGGGCCGGCGATAAATGGCAAAGTCGCAATAACGTTAACCGTTAGCCCATGTACATAGACATAGCTTCCTCTTATTCTTCTTCTTCTTCTTCGGGCCAAAAATGCGGCAGTAGACGGAGGCAGTTGACCCAATTCGTAGGGAAGCAGCGGGTTTTGTTCCCAGCACAAAAATTCAGCTCAAGTCAACTCTTTCAATGGATTCGGATTCAATCGGTGCCGGGAACAACGAACAACAACAGCAGCGATTCCATTTTGTCTCTGCTCCCCATATTAGGAGAACATGGAGACACGCACAGGGGGGGAAGGAGGCGGAGAGAGGAAGTACACTTGAAAAAAAAAAACTTCAACAATTTTATTTTAAAAAATTTCGAAGCTATATACAATTTTACTTACCAAAACAGCTGATATCTATTCGATTATTAACAGTGATTTCTAAAGTTTCATTAATTTTTTTGATTTATTAATTCTTTTATAAATATTTTTAATATTTTATTAGGAATTCTCTAAAGTAATAAAATACTTACCAAAAAAGCAACAAAGTCCTGGATGTCCGAAGAATGTATTCCCTTATTCAATCTAAAATTTTTCATAACTCTGCCAAAAATTCATTAAATTTAGCTTGGGACAACTTTTTTATGATGCTTTTTGTTAGGCTAAAAAATCTGCATATTAAATTGGAAATTGACCTTTTTTTTAAATTTTTTTTTAATTTTTGATCATTGTAATGATGTAAAAAACTTTGAAAAAAACTTCGAAAAATTATTTTCTACCTTTCATGTCTAGATCGATTCGGCTGTTTATGCTGATCAAGAATATATATGATTTCGGAAATGATTTTTTCAATGTGTTGGAAGGTTCTGACTGTAATTTTAATACCCTGAAATTCTATTAAAATAACCATAAATAAGTAAATTTAATTTTACATTCATATTTATGTGATATTTTTTTGTTTTATAAATTTCAATTGATTTAATTTGGTTAGTTAAATTGTTACATTTTTTGTTTTGTTATTTAGTAAGGTGTTTTGGATTAATATAATGCTAAATAATAAAGTTACCTCTACAAAGTTATGAAGATTTTACCTTTAAAAAAATATATATTTTTTTGTTTGCCTTTAGTAGTTTAACATTTTAACATTTTTATTTATGGTTGGTTAATAAATCATAATTATATATGACATATTTATTAAATTTAAATTATTGTCCCTTATTTTATTCCCTCTATTTTATTCGAACTATTTTAGTTTTCTCTATTTTATTTAATCAGTTTTTCTCTTTCATTTATTTCTACTATTTTTTTCTTTCTAATTTATTTGTACTATTTTTACTCTCTCACATTTTTTCTCTCTCTGTTTATTGGTGCTTCTTTTAAGCAGCCTGCCTGCCAGGCACTTATGCCACATCGTGTCTCTCTCCCTTTTTAAACCCATGTTGCTCCTCTTGTTGTTGTTATTGTTGTTGTTGATGTTGTTGTTGGTGTGGCAAGCCGCTGATGCAATCTACTTGAACATCGCCAAATGCATTTCCTATTAGAGATGGCCAAGTGGTTGCGGCTAACTGGCAGTAAGGTGCGTTTTGGCATTACGCAAAAAAAACAAGTGAAAATGGCAAAAAAACTAAAAATGGGTCAGCAACTGGAACGAGTTATGATGAAGTCTTTAATGTGGGACAAATGCGAAATGGGATTTAAATGATTTATTTGGATTTCTTATTATAATAAAGTAGATAGGTTGTTTAGGAAAGTTAAACTATGACTGGTTAATATATAATGTCTATATATCAAATTTGATGAAAATCTTTTGAAAACTGGAAAAGTTATAATTTTTATACCCTTGCAGGGTATTATAATTTCAGTCAGAAGTTTGCAACGCAGTGAAGGAGGCACCTCCGACTATATAAAGTATATATATTCTTGATCAAGATCAACAGCCGAGTCGATCTAGCCATGTCCGTCTGTCCGTCTGTCCGTCTGTCCGTCTGTCCTTCTGTCCGTCTGTCCGTCTGTCCGTCTGTCCGTCTGTCCGTTTCTACGCAAACTAGTCTCTCAGTTTTGAAGCTATCTGAATGAAACTTTGTAGTTAGCCTTCTATATACTCTCACTCGTATATATGTCGGAACGGGCCGGATCGGACGACTATATCATATAGCTGCCATAGGAATGATCGTAAAATTTTTACAAAAAAAATTTTAACTTTTTCAGTTTTCAATAGAATCGGATCAAATTTAAGATATAGCCATTTAACTATACTCTACAATTTTGTGTAAAATTTTATGAAAATCGG